TCCATTGGTGGTCAGATGCTGAATGGATATTTCACTGGGTTTAGGCAAACCTATTTTAAATTTGGACTAGTTTTTAGTTTATATTGTTTTTAGTTACAATTGTATATATGGGGGAAAGAAATCCCATTTGGGCAATTACCTTTACAGAAGACTGAAGATCTGAAATGGTCTGAACCCTGTTGCCAGTATCAGGGTCCCACAACTGATAAATGAGGTTGAGGAGAAGATAATAGATAAATAAGATAATCACCTTTATTGGCCAAGTATGTTACACACAAGGAATTTGTTTCTGGTACAGAGCCGATGGCAGCCGTCTGCGGCACCACCTCAACCAAAGGCTCTAACTATCAGGGACAACAGGGGGGTTCAGTGCCTTGCCCAAGGACACTTCAACACCCGGACTGTCGGCACTGAGATTTAAACCTTCAAGCTTCTGGTTGGGAGACGACTGCTCTACCCACCGCAGCGCGGTCGCCTCCCCACGGGGGAGCGAATCACAAACCAGATTTTAGTGTGTGTGTAAATGTAGGACTCATTTGATACAGGATACACTGAGACTTCTGTCAGATGAAGCAGTGATAAGCAAAGTGACGCCATTGTTACAGGTGAAGGTGGTTATGGCTGATATTTGCTGGGAATGGCCCCTCAGCTCCTGCAGCCTCTCACCGGTCTAACAGTCAGAGAAAAAAACATTATAAAAAGATATTAGTGCCAGCGTGTCTTGTGCAATTCAGAAAGTGTAGAAATAATTGAATAAAGAATGAGAATAAACAATGAATTTGCAACATATTACCTCAATATTCCACACCAAAACGAGGCCATCATCCCCCGCTGAGGCACATCTGGGAAACACAAGATGTTTCTCGTATGTAGACGTAAAGACAAAAGACAGTTGGTGCCTTATTTAAAAACATCCAAAACATCCCTACAGCAATAAACACCTGATCCTGTCTTCACACGGGTTCTGAAACAAGCACAAGTTCAGAAATGCAGCTGTCAGTGAACACACACACCTGGTGCTGTGCCTCCTCCAGGTTCCACTGGCTCCGTGTTTCAGCAGCAGCCGCAGCACGGCGTCGTCTCCCAGGCTGCAGGCCACATGCAACGGGCTCCTCCGCCTCTTGCCCTGGGAGAGGTTCACATCCAGATCAAATTAATTCATGAATTGATTGATTGATTGATGGATAGCAAACCAACTTTTAGGTGCAATAAATTAAAGAGGGTCACATCAAAACCTCTCAAAAATTTTACCCTTGTAAGTAATTTTATCTATAAAAGCCGTTTCTCCTCAGTGTTCTGTTTGTGAACTCGAAAATGAGTCTTTAATTCCTTTATTTTCCAGATCATTCTGGGCTGGGATATCAGAGTGATTGTCAGGGCCGCTGCCTCTCCTCTGTTTTTCTCTTCTCTGCTCTCTATTCATGTGGGCTCTGCACCTCAGCTGTGTTGCATTCCAGTAATTAACAACTGGTTTGTCGATGCACACAGCTGGGGTGCATTCCGATGATTACTTTTTCCTCCTTATTTATACCTCGGCCAGAAGCTCTGCTGTTGCTGGATTATTGCTACATGCGACTTGTGAGATGTTATGGACTATGCTTACCCTGTGTAAGTTCAAAGAAGTTATGGACTATGCTTACCCTGTGTAAGTTCAAAGAAGTTTATGTGTGACCCGCATGTTTTAGATGTGTTTAGATGCTACGCTGACAGTTCCTGTGCGTTTTTGGCTTGACCTATGCACGCTATTCTGTGGTTAGCTATATGTCCCTTTGTTGTCCACGCTGACAGTCTCTGTGCTGTGGATAAAAGTTTGTTTGACCCGCATGTTTTAGATGTGTTTAGATGCTACACTGACAGTTCCTGTGCATTTTTGGCTTGACCTATTTGTGCATTTTTGGCTTGACCTATTCTGCGGTTGGCTATATGTCTTTCTGTCGTCCACGCTGACAGTCTCTGTGCGGTGGATTATATTGTGTACGTTGGTTCTTTTGTTCGCCTGTCCGTCCACATCCTGTGTTATCCTAGTTCCTGCCATCAGTGTATGTGTACCTGTTCGTCCTGGTCTCCTAGTCACCACTGCCCTTCCCTTGTATGTATTATGGACCCTGTTATGTTGTTGTCTTACATTAAACCTCCTTCTTTGTACTAGCACCTGGGCTATCTTGAGTCGTACCCGTAGTTCTCCCTCACCCTCCTGGTGAGGGGGACTAACCTTAACAGTGATATCCTCTAAACAAAATATTCTTTTGTTTTACAAAGGACCTATGCTATTACAAATGAATATTTGTAAAACCACACACACTCACTCATGGGGACAATTTAGAGTCTCCAATCAACCTAAGCTGCATGTCTTTAGACTGTGGGAGGAAACCGGAGTGCCCGGAGAAAACCCACGCAGGCACAGGGAGAACATGCAGACTCCGCACAGAAAGGCTCGAACCCTGAAACCTTCTTGCTGTGAGGCGACAGCGCTAACCACTGCACCGCTGTGCTGCCCTTTGGTGATGTTTGTACACAAAAATATCTTCCCAGTGTCATCTGGGATTGGCATACTATGGCACCAGTGTTATCTTTTTCCTGAAGGTAAAGCATTTGCAGACAGCTCTACCCACAGTGGGAGGAAACCGGAGTGCCCGGAGAAAACCCACGCAG